GTAACTAAGCAAATTGAGGCGAACGTTGTGAGGGTTACAAACTACCCCACATGGTTAGCCACTATTGTGCCTGTGCCAAAAGAGGATGGAAAGATCAAAATATGTGTGGATTATCGAGATCTCAACAGAGCCATTCCTAAGGATGATTTCCCTCTTCCACATATTCATATACTCATCGATAATTGTGCAAAACATGAGTTGCAATCATTTGTCGATTGCTTTGCAGGATATCACCAAATCCTGATGGATGAACACGATGCAGAGAAGACGGCGTTTATTACTCTATGGGGAGTGTATTGCTACAGAGTAATGCCATTTGGTCTCAAAAATGTCGGTGCAACCTACATGAGGGCCATGACTACCCTTTTTCACGTTATGATCCACAAGGAAATTGAAGTGTACGTGGATGATGTCGTTATCAAATCCAAAAGAAGTTCAGACCACCTGGATGACTTACGAAAGTTCTTCGAGAGGTTGCGTAAGTATAATCTGAAGTTGAATCCAGCAAAGTGTGCATTTGGAGTACCCGCGGGAAAACTATTGGGATTCATCGTTAGCAGGAAAGGCATAGAGTTGGATCCATTAAAGATAAAGGCAATCCAAGAGCTACCTCCACCCAAGACCAGGAAAGACGTAATGAGTTTCTTGGGAAGACTGAATTACATCAGTCGGTTCATAGCTCAATCTACAGTGATCTGCGAACCCATATTCAAGTTACTGAAGAAGGATGCTGCCATAAAATGGACGTAGGAATGCCAAAGGGCTTTTGATAGAATCAAAGAATACTTGTCCAACCCACCAGTATTGGTCCCGCCAGAGCCTGGAAAGCCATTGTTATTGTATCTAACTGTCATGGATAATGCATTTGGATGTGTATTGGGGCAGCATGATGAGACAGGTAGAAGAGAGCAAGCCATTTACTATCTGAGCAAGAAGTTTACGCCGTACGAGGCAAGATACACCTTGTTGGAACGAACATGTTGCGCCTTGACTTGGATTGAGCAAAAATTTAGGCATTACCTGTCTGCATACACCACGTACTTGATCTCAAGAATGGATCCACTTAAATACATCTTTCAAAAGCCCATGCCTACGGGTAAACTAGCGAAGTGGCAAATTTTGTTGAGCGAGTTTGATATTGTGTATGTGACACAGAAGGCCATCAAAGGACAAGCCTTGGCGGATCACCTCGCAGAAAACCCGGTGGACCAGGATTACAAGCCACTTACGACCTACTTCCCTGATGAAGAGGTTTTGTTTGTAGGAGAAGACATATCAGAGTCATATGATGGATGGAGAATGTTCTTCGATGGAGCATCAAACTCTATTGGAGTTGGAATAGGAGCAGTCTTAATTTCAGAAACAGGTCAGTATTACCCAATCTCAGCTAAGATTAGGTTCTACTGTACCAATAACATGGCAGAATATGAAGCTTGTATTCTCGGACTCAGGATGGCCATCGACATGAACATCAAAGAACTCTTGGTGATAGGAGATTCCGACTTATTGGTTCACCAGGTGCAAGGAAAATAGACCACTAAGAATGTCAATATCCTGCCTTATCTGCATTATATTAAAGAGTTGAGTAGGAGATTCACAAGGATTGAGTTCAAGCATGTCCCTCGAGCTCAAAATGAGTTTGCCGATGCTTTGGCAACATTGTCCTCGATGATTCAACACCC